TTGCTATATTTTTGTTATTATTGATTTATTGATCACTCTCTCTTACTTCTTTTGATGTCACGTTTTCGGATCGATGTTACATCCTTTTTCGGAGGGGAAGGGTGTTACGAACCTGGACAGTTCGTCTCCTTTTTCATTCACAGGTCAATGCACGTGATAATTTCTCTTTTTAATACTTCTTCTTGTCTTCTCATTCACATTCCAGGCATATAGTTCTTTATTCGTATATTTAGTTAGACCATAGTCCATTATTTTTTTCTCTTTGTTTTCTTCTGATTTTTTATATACAAATCGCCAGATAGAGCGATAGATATATTTTTCTCTCTTTATGACGTGGCATAGACTTCTAGCTTTTTCTCTTGTTATACTATATATTATCCGTATACAGTCATATTACTTGGTCCTATTCAGTGTGTGCTTATGTGTGTGTGTGTGAGCGTGTGACAGTCATTTTTATTATATTCATTTTCAACCACTTGTTACACAATAAATTTTATACACTGGCACTTATTTCATTTTATTTGTCAACCAGAGCTTAGGACCCGGGGATAGAGAAAGTATTCTTCACTTTAGCATTGCCTGGTATATGACAATCCCATTTCTAAACTTTATTGTTACCATAGTCGGATATATAAATTGTTTCACTTGTTGTTACATATATATTTAGCGGTCGGTACAAATATGATTGACCAGAACCAATAATACCACTAGAACTACCAGCCACAGTGGTACAACTCGATGAACCTTGATAACATCGTTGTACTCAGTGATTAGCATATTCTGCTATATATAATGTGGAAGCAGAAGTTAAGAAAAGTCCAACTGATTCGTTTAATTGACTGGGACCATTACCTTGACCGCCTTGACCAGCCACAATGGTACCAGTTGTGTTCCATAAAACTAGTGCTAGGAAAGTAAAGATGAAAAAACATGCATAAGAAGTTGAAAAGTAAAGGAAGAGTTTTTATATTTTGTCAGTACTTTTTGTTTCATCAAACGATAGATTTATAGGTCATTGCAAGGATTATGAAAATTTTTTGCTTCAAAACTTGTTTGTTGTCGAGCAAATACGTTTCCTTAACTCGTAGTCGCGTTGCTGATGACATAAACATCGAATCTGGGAAAAATTTTTCCAGGTTATTGGAACAGCAGGAGCACTCCCCATGTCCTCCAAATCGCTTCGGTTTGGATGATTAATCGCGATTTCGCAAAATATTAACGATTAATCGCGATTTCGACAAAAAATCGCCGGTTAATGGCGATTAATTTTTAATTTTTCCAGAAACCACGATTTATCACCATTATCAAATAGCGGGTGATTCAGAAATAAACGGACTTTTTTAATTTTGCTATAACTTTGTCAGTTTTCATTTAATCGACTTCATTTTGTTTTTGTTAGAATCCCCTTGAAAATCTCCACAAAATTATAGCTAAATTATAATTTCAGAACTTCAATCAAGAAAATTAAGCCAATTAGACGAAAGTCGAAAAAAATGTAAACTTTCTAAACTCAAAAATGATTTCTTGTGTTAACGTTTCGAAAGTAAGAAAAACTGAATTAGCCATTTTGTAGCCCTGACTTCGCTCTATCTTTTAGCTACACTTCAAGTTTTTTCACATCAAAAGTCACAGCGAAATAATAGTTTTTCTAACGGTTGTCATGCAGTTTTTCATTAATTTTTTAAATTTTGGGTATAGTAGTGCTTTCAGTAAAATCCCCATAACTCCATCAAAATAAAAGCTTTTTCGGTCCGGTTTGGTTTGTTTTGGTCAGAAATGATTGCTCTTCTCTATATAACTGCGAAATCAAAGTTCAATCATCTTTTCCGTTTCTTGATTGAGCACATTGCTGGAAAAGAGGAGATTATCAACTTTTGATGTATTTTTGTAACGGCGTTTCCGAGCACACCATCTGCTCTAAAAAGGTTTTTTACAGACCACGAGAAAAAGCACATTTGAAAGTACCAAACATAAGCTGAGTTCTCACTTTTGCTACACTTTTTAGCGGAAATAGTAGCAGAAGAAAAGGTTCAAGACGAAAAAAATTTTGAGTTTAGAAAGTTTATATTTTTTTCGACTTTCGTCTAATTGGCTTAATTTTCTTGATTGAAGTTCTGAAATTATAATTTAGCTATGATTTTGTGGAGATTTTCAAGGGGAATCTAACAAAAACAAAATGAAGTCGATTGGATGAAAACTGACAAAGTTATAGCAAAATTAAAAAAGTCCGTTTATTTCTGAATCACCCGTTATATCGCCAGTTAATCGCAATTAATCAGCGATTTTGTTATATTGACGCTAAATTACGGCTAAATCAGTTATTTACTTAACTTAATATTTTTCAACTCAGAGAAAGAGAAAATAGCTATTATGAGGGATTTGTTGAGCTCGAACCGATTTAATAATAGGTGTCGTATGCTATAGCATAGAAGTTTCAGCCTCATATTTTACTGGCTAATAAGTTTTAACCAATAGAAAAAAAGATGGTTATGCTTGTTTGTTTTATGTGTATGTGTGCTTATTCATATTTTTATTCTGGTCGTATTTAACTTACGTTTTTCAATCTGACTTTTACGAAGAAAAGCGCTTTTCCTTCTCGTGAGTAAACACTCGGATAAAAGATACCGAATTGTAAATGGCGTAAATCAACTGCGATGTTTTTTCAAAACCTTTTCTCAAGAATTTTCAGCTTTATCTGATGATTTTTTGATTACATCTATCAAATTCTGTGATTCTTTCTTTTCTACTACAGCTGCTTACCTTTTTGTATTTTAGATTTATCATATTTGTCTCATCTTTTTCAAAATGTCCTATCCTCAGGTTGCGTACACTAAGAAAGTGTCACGACAGAGACAAATTAGAAACAAACAAAAACTCAGTTATCAACAAATGGTTTATAGTAGCTCTGAAAGTGAAGCAGATTCAATGAATGATGAAATGGATGATAGTCAATGTCAACTATTAGATGAGGAAGTAACAACAACAGTGAGGCAAATTGAAACAGAAGATTATTTAGGAGATTGTTATTTACCAAACGGAGATGATAATGTGCAAGTACATGATGATATGTTTGAGTTAGATTATACACCACCACTATATCCACAATCAACTATTAGAACTGGTCAAGCCGTTAAACGATTAATGACATTTTTTATAAAGTCAAATTTCGACAAACGAAAAATAATCAGAATGATGTGTTTAATAAAGTCCATTTTACCAACTCCAAACAAACTTCCAACAACATTGAAGCAAATCCTGAAAATATTTGGTAAAACTCCATCCTTTATAACAAAATTTTATTGCAATAATTGTCTAGCATTAACAACAAAGCGGAATGGTCATCATTATTGTACTAATTCGAGTTGTACACTAGCTGATTTACAACTGTCGAAGAGACAATTAACAGAAATTGTTATTATGAACATAAGAGAAAAATTACAATCAATTGTTCGACGAAATTTTTCTTTATTCTCTGGTCATGAAGAACTTTTTCCAGCATTTGATATCCCAAGTGGTACTCGTTATCAATCAACAACCAAAAAAACTATTCATCCAATTACATTAAATATACATGCTGATGGTGCAGCACTAGTCCGATCAACGAAATCAGCACTGTGGCCTTGTTTTAGCTCAATTGTTGAGTTACCACCACCGATACGCGAATATCAATCTAATATTTTAACATTAGCGTTATGAGTGTCGTGTATTAAACCGGATGTTAATCTATTTTTAGAAGATATCATTGGCCAATTAACTGACTTATCTCAAAATGGTACGACGATATTTGTCAATGACTATGAATTTAAAATCTATGTTAAAACGCAGATGTTTATATCCGATCTACCAGCAAAATCTCTTTTTATGAAAACAATTAACTTCAATGGGTATTATGCATGCACAAATTGTATTACAGAAGGTAATTATTCTGTCTATCTCCTCTTTTCGTACTAGTAATAATTATAGTATGTCTTTTTGTTGTATTCTTTTCTTTCACCTGTACTGTATGACGACACACAAGTAATTTACCCATATGAAAAAAATAATTACGAGGCAAGAACTCATCACCATTTTTTAACAACAGCAAAAGCAGTTGAAGCTAAAGTAGCGAGTGGTCGTAGTCGTCGCACATCAGTCGCTGGTATTAAAGGTTTATCGTCATTATTAAAAGTGTTGCATTATCCTGTTGATGTAGTATATGATTATATGCACTTGATATGTTTAAACCATGTGCCAACATTAATTAAACGTTTTACTGGAATTTTATCAAAAAATGATATTGATAAAACTGATTCAATTCTATCAGCTATTCGTTTACCACATGATGTCAATGTCAGATATAATTACTCAATACAATCCATTAACGATTGGAAAGCAAAAGATAATAGATTGTTTATTTTAAATTTAGGTCTACCAATACTTGTACAATACCGATATTATATTCATCGCATTTTGCCATTTATTGTATGTTCATCACGATTTTACACTGCCCGAAAACAATAGAAGAAATTCAATTAGCTGATAGATTAATACACTATTATTGCCAAACATCATCAAAAGTATATGATCCGAAGATTGAATTATATTCTTTACATGCTCATCTGCATCTACCGGCACAGGTTTTGAGTAAGTGATGGTATTATCTCTCATGATTTTGATTATTGTTTTGTCTAGTAATGTTTTTACGTCAACAACTACCGAATATTGTTTGTTCTTTTGTTCTAGATCATGGTGGTTTAGCTTTTACATCCTCGTTTTGTTTCGAATCAGCAATTCGTTCTATTAAAAATAAGTCACATGGCACAAAAAATCTTGGATCACAGATTGGTTATTGGTGTGACATTGATACAATTATACCTTTAAATGAATTTGAACTAATGTCACCATCACTAGTGGATGAAATAAAGCTAGATAGTGATTTATTAAAAGCTCATCGTGGTATATTAACGAAAAAATTTAATGATTTACAACAAGATATTACGACAATAAAATTATATTTACGTTTTAAAGATAAATTTGTAACATATCATTCATTTTTATATGGTAAGCGATTTACCTGTATTAGTTATTTAATATCGTATAATGATAATTATCAACAAATCCAGTATGGTAATATTATTATTTTTTATATATTCAACGATGTATGGTATTCATTAATACAACAATATCATCGAGCTGATATTAACATTTCTGACTTTCTTGAAATTCCCAATGAATTAAAAGAGATAATAGATTTATTTTACCCTATTTGCTTCTTAAGTGATACATTTGTTATTATTCCTGTTAGTGATATTGTGAATAAGTGTTTGTCGATACCTTTCCAACAATACCGATGTATCAGTGAAAGGCGCGTGAGTTGTGAGCATGATTAAACATCCAGACTACTTTCTTTTTTTCTTTATTTGTTTATGTAGTATTTACCTTATAGAATTAATGTTCTTGCTTGTAATAACGAAGCTTTCTTTTTGTCTTTCCCTTTTAATTAAAATTAAATCGTTTTCTTTTTGTTCTGTTGCGAAAGAAAAACATACAAAAAACCTTCTTCTTCTGGTCTTATCTACTATTGTTATCATTATTTATGTTTTTATCTTTGTTTTAGATGTCTTCGAAAACGAACAGTTATCAACGTCCTTATCTAACACAACGTGTATCAACAGAAAAAAAACGTTATTCGTGTATTGCTTATCTCGATGAACCATCAAAGTACAGTATTGTTGATTCAAAACGATTGGCAAATATAGATGATCGAGGTTATGGTATTATTAAAGAACTTGGAAAATCATACAATATTCATGTCGAACAAACAGGTATAGCTATGTTTATTTAAATAATATGAATTTGTATTTTTTTCCTATTTCTATCTTTATTTTAGGCACCCAAGAATCCATGGAAAAATATGGTTGTTTGTTAGAGAAGGCGATGCAATCTCAAATGCACGAAGAGGTACCTTCTGATTGTGAAGAATGGCGAGCAAAACAAAGAAAGGAAAATCAATCAAAAGCTTTATCAACACCACTAAGACCAAGCTTGAAATCAAAATCATCAAATAAACAACCGAAACAGAGTAAATATATAACACTACTGAAACAATGTATAGTCATTGTCTATTTTTAGCTCTATCTCCTGCACCGAAAGAATTTTCATTAAAAGATATTTTCTTTGGTTGGTAATTTGTTGCAGATATTGTGAGTTTTATTATTATTTTTTCTGCAAACAGGTCAAACACCACCATCGTCGTTATTATCTCAATCTGGCTCATCTGACAATACACGACAGTCACGTGCACATATTCAAGGTAATAAATCTGTTTTTCTTTAAGCAAGTTTTTGCTGCTATGTATTCCTTTTAGGTGAAAAAGAAGCTAATCATGATTCATCTAGTTCGGATGATGATGAAGATGAAAATTCTAAATTAACAATAGATATCGAAGAAGATTTGGCAGACGATTTACCATCAAGTTCTATACGATTGCCACCAACTACAACTTCAAAAAAACGTGCATCAAAATCAAAAAAAAAAACACCGATTGCAAAACGTTTACGTTTTACAATGAATGATGATGACGACGAAAAGGATGATGAAGAACAACAATTGGATTTGCAACAAACGGTGAATTACGTTAAACAAGTCAATGCAAATGTGCTCAAAATGCAGAAGCAACAAGAAAAATTAGCAGTTACTTTAGGTCGTCAAAATACATTTTTAAACAATTTGTGTAAAAATCAAAAAAAATTAGCTAAAAGTTTAGCACGACGTAAAGTAAGAAAAGCCACTCCTAATGTATGTTTTCGACTCTAAAACCATTTTTTGCTCTAGATTCCTGTTTTTCTGGAAGAAGACGATGAAAATGCAATTGATCAGAATTCAACCGATTATGTGTCAGTAAGTAGCTACATTTTAAAACCCTTTATTAACATATATTACCAGAACTAATTGTCGTTTCTTTACTTGTTATTTCTTTGCATTTTAGACATATACTAGAAGTGATGGTCTTGTTGTTGAACTATTGAAGGTATATGGTACAAAAGAAAATACAGTTAAATATGCTTTAAAATTAATTGATGCATTATTTATTGATAAACAAGATTTGCAAAATGCTGATTCTAAAAAAATTGATGAAGATCCACGAGTTAAAGCAATATATGGTATGTAACTAATTAAAATATTTAAAACATATTTTATCGGTTTTCATATTATCTTATTTGTTGTAGGTCCAATTAAACAAAAGTTCAACTTTTCAGTCGAAGAAATGTCAATCATTTGGCCGCCTGTTCATGATTCTATTCTTAGCAAACGACGCAATCAAGGGAAAATATTGAAGGCAAATGTAACACAAAGTAAGATGAAACTAAAAAAATTCTGTTTTATAAATTATTTGTTGACTGTTATTTTGTTGTTTTTTCAGATGAATCGACTTCAACTACTTTGACATTACAAGCTGTTAATCACAACAATAATGAACAACAAGATGAAACAGGTGCAGGTGAACAGCAACACGAAACAGATGAAGATGAACAAACATAATGATTTATTTTATATTTACTGATGCTGTTCATCTTCCTGCTTAAAATCTTGTTGGTCCTTTACCTTTTTTTTACATTACAGTACTTTTCGTGTGCTTGCTTTTCTATTTAAATCTTGTTAACTTATTTTAATTTTATCTACAAATGAACAATCACTATAAAGCGAACAAAGGCGTTTTATGCCAACTAAAAGTCGTTGTAAGAGAAAAGAAAAAATGGTGAAATGTTAGCGAGAAAGTCCAAACGAATCGCCTGTAATGATTAGGAGGAAATCGCGATAGATCGCGATTTTTTGGTACAAAAGTCAGCAAAAAAATCGGCAAACTGGTCGATTTTATCGCGATAAAGCGCACAATTAATCGGTCCGTAAATCGCGATAAAATCGTCGATTTTTCCGCGATTTTCATCACATGGGTCATTATATCCCGTTTGGGATATAGATATTGACTCAAAAAGTTTCGTTGTCATTCACTTCACTTGAGTGTACCGTTGAGTAAGGATAGTTTTTGTGTTATGCTAGTAGCTTATGAGGTAAATAGATTTGCTAATATTTCTTATAATGAGTGAGGCAAACTGTTACAGGCCTGGGTCTTGCACATAACGCGTAATCATGATCTAAGCGTATATTATTGCATCATCTCGTCACATGTTTAGCCGCGTGACGTCTATGTCCTACATGTGGTATTGGAGAATTATTTTTTTCCTTCGTCCAGTCCCTTATTTTCTACATTTATTCGTTTTCTCCCGCGTTCATATATATCTATGGTTCTTTTCCTTTGTTCTCTGTTTTATCCATAGATATATAAATAGTGTATGTTTCTCATTTTTAGTAGCACTTCTAGAGGCCATCACGTATCGTACACATCGTCACTTGTTATTCGTTTTGTGTTTGTGTTTTCATCTCTTTTTTTCTGACCTTTGATAAACACTTTCTATCAATTTCTTCTATGTACTTTTGTACTAGACACTTTGCTCTTACAGGAAAAAGAAATTGAAGCCTCTACGATATTCCATTGCAACGCTGTGGCAAAATCAATGCAAAACTTTTGCCTCATCTGATTTACATGTGAGTGACTACGTATGCACTAGTTTTTAACTGGTACATACGTATGAGTGACAGATTATATGAAGTTTCTATTTCTAATGCTGTTTTCTTCCATCTTAGGCTGGCATATCCTAGCGCACAAACTGATCAAGTCAAGGAAAAATCACTTTCTAAAATCACTATCGCTGGCATCAACGGGAAATACATGGAAGGTAAGGGATAATTTTTGAAAAAGTGATTTTCTCATGTGATCCAGAAACTCAACCAGATATAATTTTTTGGAGCTAATGAGCATCCAGAAAAAAGACTTTACAATAAAAATTAAAACCACTAAAATCACCGAGTAGCTGTGGTCAAACTCTGGAAGGCTGCGAAAAGCCAAAACTTGAACAGCATTTTCCGTTTTATTGACGTCAGTCGATAGAGCTCATTGAGTTGTTGTAGGTAGATACAGAGATGGGAGAAGGTACGACGTTTGTCCCGAGACCATTTTAGCTATGAAAACGTTATACTGATTGATAACTTGTTTTAGTCTTTTACTCCTTTTACTCCTTTTACTCCGTTTACTCAAAAAATTTACGCGCTTACGAGGATTTGAACCTCGATACTGTCTCTTCGTAGGCAGTGATTTTGACTATTGTGCTATCAGCGCTCTCCGATAAATAAATACATTTTGCACTGTAGGTGTTGCTGTTTGCTATCGATAAACTTTCGGATACCTAAATATACTTTGGCTTTTTAGAAGCTTTAGAAGAAAGGAAATTTGGTTTTCTCAGTATTGTCTAGGGAACAGAGTGCGATAAAATAAATCTTTAAAAGAAGTTTCGTGATCTAAGTTAGGATGAATCAGTTGTAAGGCAGATGGCCAGTAATGACTTGATCAGCATCTGTATCATAAATGAACCGCCCAGTATTTTTGAGAAAAAAATTAAGAAAGAGCCTTTTATCTGTTCTTGGTTCAAATGAACATCTCTGTAGTGCAAATATCAGCGCAACTGAAGTGCACCGAATCAGTTAGAGCTGTCATTTGTTACGAAATACTGAAATAAAGAGATAATTTCAAAGAGTGGAAACATACTTTTATGGGAGCCAGAGAGGACGAAAACCAGTTCAAAATCATTTGTCTTTTACTCTTGACTCTAACAAAAATTTTCGAGACAAACTGAATCAAAAATGCTTTTTGGATTTAATTTTTATTTCCAAAATTACTTTCACATTTTTTTCTGAAGCCCTGCAAATTAGTTATTTAATTCCACTTTGAAAATCTTAAAAAAGCAGATATAAACTGGAAAAAGCTCAGTATAAAAAATTAAGTGCCTTATATAATAGACACTGTTTTTCGTTTCGTTTATATAAAATAAAATAAAAGTAAAACAGTGTTTTTTGTAGTATGTTACAGACCTCAGTGGATTGATGTGTGTGGCCTCACCGAGCATGTTGATGGTGTAACAAATGAGGCTAGATATCTACAAAATACAGTTTTAATGTACTGCTTATATTAGATGATTTTAATGGACATTGTAAGTTATGGTATCCAATTTCTACTAAACCTTCTGCTAGAGCAGGGATAGAACTGTATGACTTCTCAGAGAGGGCTACTCTTTATGCGTTAGTTGATTGTGATACTAGAGAAGAGTCCGACACCTGTCTTCAGTTGATTTTTGTTGATAGTCTATCATTTTTTAATTCTTCTTTACGTTATAAGAACTTTCTCTTCACGTTATATTCGTCCTTTGTCTCGACTGCGTTCAACCGGTAATCATAATATAATTCAAATTACACTTAACTCTATAAATGAACCTGTACAAAAACGAAAACGAATCATATAGGATTTTATAAAAATACTGACTGGGATTATTATCGGACTATTATGGGATTGACTCGGACTATTATCGCCTGCAGCTTTCAAATGTTAATTGGTTTCGTTTTATAGAAGGGTAACGAAATACAATGGATAAGGAATTAATTTCTGTATGGTAGTTGATATCCTGCTTTCGCTAGGTCGTTAATGGATACAGAACTATTTAAAAAATATATCCCGATTGGACTATAATATCTCAGTCGGGATATATATCCTGATTAGGATATGGTTCCTCACTGTCTTAGTGTCAATACAAAAAACTTCAAACTTTAACGTTTTATCTCAACAACTAGCTAATTATTACTGCAATCTCTAGCCATATTAGTAAGAAAGATATATAAACAACGCACATACAGAAAATATTGTTTTTCGTCTCTGGCACATGAAAAAACTGTTGTATAATATCAACCTATGCATCTTCCTTACTAATAGAGCTGGAGATATAAAACTTTACAGTAATAACTAGTGATAATTCGAGTGAGAGAAGTGCAAAGGCGATAACGCCAGCCTTCTTACATTCATCCCTTTTTTCTGTCCATTATAATGCTAAATCGAGGACAAGTTTGTTGAGTAAACGTTCTTCAATACTAAATACACCCCACACTTTCGGATATGCATCTGACCATATTGCTAACATTCGAAAATCATCTTCGGTACAATAGATGTATACTGAACGTATTTCTGTCTTACAACGACTTTCTCTTCTTTCTCTTTCCATTACTTTGAGCGAACGAAAGAAAAGAGTAACGAAATATAATATAACTAGATAATAAAACAAACAAGTTCATCAATCATTTTATTCTTTTATTTTTTATTTTTTTTCTAAAAAACAATACAGTGAAACTTTCGACTCCTTTCATCGGGTCATTTTCAACATGTAATCTCTTTCTTAAAAATTTAGTGTTTAAAATGCCCCTATGAAAGGAGTCGAAAGCTTCACTGTATTGTTTTTTAGAAAAAAAATAAAAAATAAAAAAATAAAATGGTTGATGAACTTGTTTGTTTTATTATCTCATTATTCAACTACATTTCATCAAATAATGTCAATATAATATAACTGTCAAAAGATCACGGAATTATAAACTATAAATAGTGAGACCTGCGTTACTTTCTTCATTCTTTTCTTTCACGTTGTACGGTAAGTAATGATTATGACTAAACTATTATAATATTTTCGGACCGAACTTTTAACCAAACTTAATAAGTTTGTTCATTCCGTCGACGTTAACAATTTATTTGCTTGCACAAAGGCATGATTTATTCTCAAAAGGAAAACATGTCACTCAGGTTTCTTTTCTTGTTTTGTACAGAAGCTCTGTTTGATGAACTGGGTGTTCTTGGAACAAACAGGAGATTAGCAGTCTATAACAGAGATTCTTGAGCATCGGAAAACATGTTAGATAATTGGTTTTATTCACTCTTTCCCGTTAGATCATATTTCATAAATCGAACTGTCTGCGTTGGTTTATCGACTCCTATTCTGGTCCGAAGTAAAGGTTTCTGTTAGACATCAAGATCACTGTGCATATATAAAATAGCGAAATTACATTATTGAGAAAAAACCAAATGTATCATAACACATATAACAAGCAAAAATCTAAAAAAGAGACACTTCTTGTTTACAAGTATACAAATTCTGTTGCAAATGAGATAAAGCTGAGAGAGACATTCACACGACGTTTTCTTACGTCAGTTTGATGCTTCTACTCCCACGCTGTCTTCGACATCTAACGCAGCTTGATTGATAAGCATTTCAAGATGAGTTATTAAGGATTTTGCTTGGCAGTAGTATTGATTTACTAAAGAGAAATGTTTTGATACACGACTTTGCTGTGCCTCTGACCGATAATAAGAGGCTAAGTCACTTAATAATTCCATACACAACTCGCCGATCGAATAGTAAGTGTCTTGTACTTTGGGAAAAAATTCAGTGGTTGACTGATTCTGCGGGAAACCTGCAGTATCATGCAANATGTGTAGATGTACTGAACCTTTGAATCGTTTTGGAACATGTGCAATATTGTATCGGGGACCGCACCGATGATTACAAGGAAAAAGCACTTCAGTTCTGCACTTTCACTATGTTGGTATGAGT